AGTCTTTCAATATATAGAACAAATAAACAAGGGGATATTGAAGAAGAAGTGATACAAACTTGAATGAGATTAATAATAGCAGTCTGAAAGCCTATCTTTTTTAAGGTATCTATGATAAAATTCCATCTAAGCTTATCATAAGCTTTTTCTAAATCCAGTTTTACTATCATAAACCCACTTCTACCCCTAAGCTTGTGGAAAGAGTGAACAATTTCCTGGAGAATCAGGGAGTTATCAATCCTTTGCTTACCAGAGATGAAATTGCATTGGTTAACAGAGATCAAGTGAGATAAGGAGTCTTTTAGTCTATTAGCTAGATTTTGGTAACTATCTTATAGATCACATTACACAGGGAAATGGGCCTAAATTTCCTAATGGACTCAAGGCTTTCAGATTTGGGGATAAGGGTGAGGCAAGTATTATTAACCTCAACAATTCTCTTGGGATCATGAAACATAGACTACACAAACTCATAAATAAAGTTGTCTAACACTTTCCACTGATTCTTAAAAAATAGGGCATGAAGGTTATCAGGCTCAGGAGCCTTAACCTCATCTATGGAAACTTCAAGAGAGAGAAGCTTGTTATCAGAATCTCTCAGGGGAGAAAAGAATATAGAGTGTTCAGAATAAAATCTTGGGGATTGGGATCATAGTATAAAGACTTAAAGTAATCTAAAGACAGGGTTTTGAGATCAGTGGAGTCATAAATCCAATTCTGGTTGTCATCTTTAAAGCATCAATTTGATTTTTCTTTCTCCTACCTATAACAGCCTTATGGAAGAACTTAGTATTCCTATCTCCTAAGGTCAACCAGTTAGCTCTATATTAGTGATACCAATAAGTTTCCTCCTGGTCTAGAGTGAGCTAATACTCTCTCTAAAGGGTTTGCATAAGATTGGTAAAGAAATGATTAGTTTCAAAACCTAACTTTCTAGAAAGGCCTTTTATTCTACACAGTAATCTTTTTTTTTTCCTTTGAAATTTTTTACCAAAAACAGTTGTGTTCCAATAAAAAATGTTAGTTTTAAAATTTGAGACATTGTCTACTCATGATTTAGAGGGTATCTAATAATTTTTGATTTGATTATGGAAGTCAGGATGAGAGAGCCAAGAAGCAAGGAATTTAAAGTTGTTAGATTGCTAGGTGGGGAATTTTTCATTAGGGATTTTCAACCATAGGCCTGAGTGATCGGATTTTAGAAGGGGAATATGTATGACAGAGCTATTAATAAAGTTCCTATGGCAAGGGTTATTTACAACAACCTTGTCCAACCTTTTCTTAAGATTTCCTTTATGTCAGGTAAATGGGTTTCCTTTGAAACCCAAGTCAAAGAGACCACATTGTGAGAGACAATCAACAAATATATTAAGACTTCTATTATTTGGTAGTTTACCCCTTACTTTTTTGTTACTATACAAGATAGAGTTAAAGTCCCCAGCCAAAGTCCCCAGCCAGGGTCCAAGAGCATCTGATAGTAGAACTAAATTTAATTAAATCCTCCCAACAAGTCGCCCTATAATATTCTTGAGGACTAGCATAAATAGAAGACAAGATCCAGTCTCCATACCCAGGCGTTTTAACACTAAGGTGAATGAAATATTTTGTCTTATCAATTAGAGAAATTGATACTTTTTTACTATTCCAGAGGCACCAAATGCCTCTAGAGTACCTAACAACATCCATTATTTCACACTTATCAAAATTAATTTTCTTAATAACCAACTCAGCTTTAGCAGAACTAATCCTAGGTTCAAACAAGACAACGAAATCTAATTTATACATGAAAATTAGATCATTAACAAGTCTATTAAAAATTTTACCACCAACCCCTCTACAATTCTAGAAAAAACAATTCATGAATAATAACGAAACAATTATATTGCATCTGTAAGATGCTATGAGGGTGCCTAATTAGAGGACTTACAAGGCTCAAAGAGGCTAATTTTAGCTACAAAGATATCTATGTCCATAGGTGAAACTGGGTCAGGAGGCTTATCAGTTGAAAATTGTACTATTGAATCTTGAGATTTTCAGGAGTTACTAAGATTCTCACCTAGCTGGTCTTGGATGTATCTACCCCCAGACTGATTATTATTAATATCTTTATTCATTATATTTATGATTGCAAAGATTTCCTTATGAGTTGAACTATTATAGTTAATGTTGTCTTTTCTAATACTCTCCTCATTAGTAATCATAGGCAGACTGGTCCCTTCTACTTCCTTATTACTAGATTCAGCTTTGTTTTTAAGTTTACCTTTAATGAATTTTTTTTGAAAAAGGACTCTTAATATTACTAGGCTTAGCAACTTTTTTCTTCCTAGATTCCTTTAGATTTGTACCCTCCTCCTCATTCCTATTTAGGTGTCCTAAGGTTTTCTTTATATCTGTTTTTGAATTGTTTAAGGTCTAGACCTGAGTTTCCCAAAATATCAAATCTCGAACTGAGCTTACTTCCTTACTTGTCTCACTATGAGAAGGGGTTGAATTTGGCCAATGGGTACCTATCTTTTTCTTAATTGGTCACTTAACTAGCATCTAAGGCCCAAACAAACTCTGTTCCTCACCTAGGCTACCCATTTGAGTTGGATTAGTGGTATCATTTTCAAGTTTCTTGTGAGGTAAAGCTTCTCACTATGCATAGGAATCATATTTGAATTATCAGTGATTGATTTATTAGGGTCAAGACAGAACTCTTGCCTATGACCATACTTTCCACAATGAAAGCATATAAGGTGCAAACCCTCGTATTCTACTTTAAACTCTTGGCCTAGGACTCTAAAAGTAGGAACCAATTTTTTTCTAAGATCAAGTTCTACAAAAGTCCTAGCAAACCTACCTCTAGAAAGGAGAGAAGTATTCGGGTCAATTTTCAGCATTACACCTAAGCAGGATCCAACTTGCCATAGGAAGTTTTCATTATATAGTTCAAGGAAAAGATATGAGATGCGAACCTAAGCAGCTAACTTCCTAACGGTATGGTCTTTAGGCCTGAATAGAGGCCTCCAACACTGGACTAAGGTATTATCAACTTGTTTTAAAGAATGGATAGTCAAGTAGTAGCATTATCAACTTGTTGCCAACATTCTTTTAACTTCTATTAAATAAATCAAATATAAAAATAGTTTAATTAATATTAATTTTGTACTGAATGCAATATATGAGTTTTAAATATATTTAATACTTTTTATATTATTAAATATTTATGTTACATTTTAAAAAATATTAAATTATTTATTCAGTGTTTAAATATTTTCTTTGCAATAATTCAATTATTAGAAGAAAAATATTTAACAATATAAAATATAAAAGATCATAGAACATATAAATGAACTTTAAAAAAAAGTTATTAAAATAATAAATTAGTTATTAAAAAACAAACATGAGGAAAAATGACAATTGTTTTTAGTAAACAATTTTTTATAATTAATAATATATGTAGACAGTTGTGAAAGAATCTTTTTTAATATTTAATATTTCTTTCTCAAAACAATTTTTTTTATAGAAATATGCTAATTATTTTTTTATTTTTTTGCTAAACACTAATTATTTTATTTTTTTGTATTATTTTTCATATGCAAAAATACTATTTAATATTTTACTAATTTGTGCTTAATACTTTTAATTAGAGAATTATTTAATTTTATATTTTGTCGTAACTTTTATCGGAAACCAATTATTGTTAGTGCATTATTTTTTTTACAACCCTTAAAAAAAAGTTGTAGCATAAAAGTCTTATAACATGACTTAAAACTCAATAAAGTAATATATTTAAAAATTGTTTTAATATTTTATTTTTACATATAAATATTATTATTTATAATATTATAGATTATAATTAGATATAATAATAATGAAAGTACAACAAACGAAAATTGATCTGAATAGCAAACAGCTCAATATTATTTAAGTAAGATCTAAAGTTTTAGAATAAAAATTATTACTCATGTGAATATGAAACGAGATATCAGTATATAAATGAGTACGATAATAATCTTATTTATTTCTTACTTATTTTTATTTTTAATTATAAAATAAATGAGTTAACATTTTTTTTAAATTTATATTATATTTAAATATTTTAACTAAAACTTTATACTGTACCATTAAATAATATGAATTTTATTTTAATTAATTAAATTGTAGGTAATAAAAATGAATATAAAAATAAAATAAAATATAAGAATTTAGATATTCAGTAAGTATACAAATTTAAAATTATTATTAAATAAAAGATGATAACGAGTATCTCGGTACTTTCTCCAAAATCTCTTGTGTAAAAGATTTTCAGGTATGATTAAATATTATAAAAAATATAAACTGTTATTTTATTTTATGTTTGATGTATATTATTAGGATTGTATACCAGATAATATTATATTATCACATTTAATATTTAAGATAAATAAAAATAATAATAAAATAAGATATAAATTATAATTAAATGATAAGATTATTTGTTTATCAAAATTAATATATTTTTTAAAAATATTTTTATTTTTGTTTAACTTTTGAATAAAAATATATAAACATTAGAAATTAAAGAAATATACATATAATACTAAAATATTGATATTAACTTAATATATTTTATAAAACTTTTAAAATAATAATTAAATTAATCAATTTCATATTTATAAAAATTTAAACAACGTAAACAGATATCCGTTTTAAAATTAGAGAGAAATCAGAGAATCCTCACCCTTAATTATTATATTTTTATTTTTATATAGAAGAATAATACGCTACAGAATATTGTACACGACTACACGTTGGATGATAGGTTCATAAATACAGTTACAGCAGATGAAAAAAGAAACTGCAGCTGATTATACTGTCATCCGTATAAATCGTTTCAGTACATAAAACAAAAATAAATCTATTATATTATAAGTCTCGAGATTCACCGTACCTAGGTCAAACTCTGTTCACATCTTCCACTGTGATAAACCCTGATTCATGTTTTTGTTTACACCCTCTTATGGTCATTACAGTCCATGGAACCCCAATCTGCACCGTTGAATCACGAAAATCAAAATGACCGCGAAATGCAAGAACTCGCATCGCTTCGAAAATCGATCGAGGAATGCCTCGTCAAGAGACAATCGGAGGAGCACAGATTGCGTTCCCTTGAGAGACACATCGACGAGCGCTCCAAAGCGCTCGACTCCAAGGAGAAGCAACTCGCTTCCGTTAAACGACAACTTGGCCTGTGTTGTCGAGATATCGACGTGAAGGAGAGAGAATACGGCGTCGTTCGAAGAAGCGTCGAAGAACGTAACAGAGAGTTCGAGGCGAAAGGAGCGCAACTCAAGTCCATACAGAGGAAGATTACCGAATGCGAGAGGCAACTAAGGATGAAGGAGGAAGAATGCAACTGGCAACTCGAAACGTTGCATCGCGTGATCACTGAGCGCGACGAGGTTCACAGGAAAATGCAGATGGCGATTCAGGAATGTCACGATGATCTTGCCGCGAAGGAAGCGCGACTCTGTTTGATCATGGACTTGATTAGAGAGCGCGAGCAAGAACTCAAGACGAAGGACATGGAGTTTCATCAAGCATTGGATAACATTCATAGAGACTGCGAAAGAAAGGAAGAGGAACTCAGGGCTCTTTCGAACAAAATTGCTGCACGAAATGGGGAGCTTACGATGAAAGAGGAAGAGTTTGATGCAACGCCAAGATTGATCAGTGGGCATGGTAATGAACAGGAGTTGAAAACGAAGAACTTAATCAAGTCAATGCGAGCAAGGATCAATCAGCTTGTTCGAGAGCTTGGATCAAATAAAAAAGAGTTCGATTCTCACAAATTATTGATGGAAGAAAAGGGATTGGAGTTTGAAAAGAAAGAGAATGATTTTGAGTCCATGAGGAAGCTGTTTGAAGGGCGAGTGAAGGAGCTCGAGTTAAAAGAGAAGGATCTCGAAGGAAGAGCGATGGAGCTCGAATCAAAAGAGAAGCAATTTGAGGGCTTCGTACAGGAGAAGCAGAATGAAAGTCAGGTGCAGAGGCTCAAGTTGAAAGAGAAGCAGATTGAAGAACAAAGGCAGGATTTCGAGTCCAAAAAGAATCAATACGAAGGACTAGTGAAAGAGATGGAATTAAAAGAGGCACGATGTAAAGTGCAAATGAAGGAGCTTGTGTCTAAAGAGAAGCTGTTTGAACGACAAATGAAGGATCTTGAGTCTAAAGAAAAGCAGTTTGAAGGACAAATGAAGGATCTTGAGTCCAAAAAGAATCAATACAAAGGACAATTGAAGGAGCTTGAGTTAAAAGAGGCGCAGTTAAAAGTGCAGGTGAAGGAATTTGAATCAAAAGAGAAGCAGTTTGAAGGTCAACTGAAGGCGCTTGAGTCCCAAAAAATTCAATATAAAGAACAAATGAAGGAGCATGAGTTAAAGGAGGCACACTTTAAAGTGCAGGTGAAGGAGCATGAGTTAAAGGAGGCACACTTTAAAGTGCAGGTGAAGGAGCTGGAATCAAAGCAGAAGCATTTTGAAGGACTGGTAAAGGTTCACGAGTCAGAAAAGAAGCAATTTAAAGAAAATGAGAAAAAACTTGGGTCCAGAGAGAGGCAATATGAAGGACGAGTGAAAGAGCTTGAGTCAAATAAGAAGCACTACGAAGGCCGAGTGCAGGAGCTCAAGTCAAAAGAGGAGCAGTTTGAAATACAGGCGAAGGAGCTCGAGTCAAAAGAGAAGCATATTGAAGGTCAAATGAAGTTTCTTGAGTCGAAAAATAACCAATACAAAGAACAAGCGATGGGACTTGAGTTAAAAGATGCACAGTTTAAAGTGCAACTGAAGGAGCTTGAGTCAAAAGAAATGCAGATCAAAGGAGAGATGAAGGAGCTTGAAGTGAAAACGAAAAATTTTAAAATACAACTGAGGGAGCTTGTGGCAAAAGAGAAGCAGTTTGAAGGAAAAGTGAAGGCTCTTGAGTCAAAACAGAATCAATATGAATCATTAAGAAAATCATTTGAAAAGGAAAAAGTGTTGAAAGAGAAGTCGAATTTCCTCCTTCATCAAGTAAAGACTGAGCAACAGTCTTTAACAGAAGTCAACAGTGTAACTAATAGCACGAATTTACAGTTCCTGTTTAATCTTATGGACAAACACAAGCTGATGTGTAGTCAAGTCTCTGATGCTCTTCGAACATCTGCTGACCCTACTAAATTGGTGCTAGATGCAATAAAAGGTTTTTATCCTCCTTGTACGAGCCAAGAACTCGTTGAATATGATGCAGATATCTTAAGGAGAGTGTGTAATCTTTTGATGGATGAATTAAAGAACTCTTCCCCAGTAATTGCTTTTCATGTGAAACAAGAAGCAATGAAATTGGCAAGTGATTGGAAGGTGAAAATGGCTGTAGCTGATAAAGATTGTTTGGAGGTCCTGGATTTTTTGAAGTTTGTTGCTACTTACGAGATTGGTTCATCTTTCAATCCAGTTGACCTTCAGAGGCTTCTAGATATAGTTGCCCAGCATTGTCAGGCTCCGCAAGCCCTTGCCAATATTGAAAATCCCTCAGGTAAATACATGTGTGCCTCTTTTGTTGAAGCAATTCTCTCTATTGTTTCCTTTAATCATATTGACATTTTTATTAACCTGATCTGTATTTTATTTATTATCTCTCTAGTCAGGTTATGTTGTATATCTTAATCAACTTTAAAGGTTTCCATGATTTTCTTTACTTGGCATCTTATATCTGGTGGTCTAACCTAGACAAATATATTTTCATTTTATTTTTTTTCAATTTCCTGACAAACTGTTGGCCCACTTGATCCTTTAGATCAAAGGGAAGGAATTCAATAAATGATAATCTCTAACTAGTCAGCAATACAAAAGAACTTTTAAATTACCTGTTTTCACTCAGGAGAATTAAGTAGTCTGCATAATGAAGAGCAACTCTAAAATTTTATTGCTTCTTATGTTTGGTTTAATTCAATCTTACAAGCCTTATGGATGTCTTTCTGATACATGTCGTGTCTTTCAGTTTATAAAATTATAAAGGGTTATAATCTAAAACTTCTTTCATGAGTTCATCATTCTTTTCAGCTAGAACTTGTTTCCAGCATGCCAGCCATTTCACAAGCTATTTTGTATCAACATCATTCCTGATAGTTATCATATGATTCACACCTAACTGTTCAATTACAAAAATTGTTGTCCATCATTGTTCACATGCCATAAATACGAACGTATTTTCTGTCTAAAAGGAGTTACCTTATATTTTAAGGTTTACCATAGTACAATTATTAGTTAGCACGTTCCTGATAACTTTTGTGGCTAACTAATACCAAATGTCACCCATCAGTTACTTGCCTCGGACAATTTTATTTCTGAAAAGAAAAGGTGAAACTAAAAGGTGTCTGTTCTTGATTTGTTCTTTTCTGAGAATATCTTATCTCCTATTCTTATCCTCTCATTACAATTTCTAGTGATTATTGCACTGTCAAGATATTGCTTCCAAATATTAGTATAAAGTGGCTTTCCTTCTGTCACCCATGCAAATCAATCTTGGAGAGCTTTGCTTATTGCTTACGTTTGTATTGCATTTTATGATAAATTATTTTACAACTGTTACCTTTATTTTCTGCTGCACACATACTAAATGTTTGGCGTGACAAAGGGATGGATTGGATAAATTTGGAGTTGGATACTAATGGATGGATAAAAAGCAATTCATTAATCCATTTATAATCAGCATAAAATGTAAGAAAAAATCCAATCTATTCATTATTCATTTATTTATAAACCATCCCATTCATCCATTAATAATTTTCATGTCGATGGATATCCAACCGATTCATTTACAATTATTATATTTTAAAAATTTATTTTTACTTCACCATATATTTTCTCTCTCTAAATTTTCCCTTTCTAATTTCTCCTTAAATCTTCAGTTTTAATTTTTTTCCTCTCTAATTTTTCTCTCTCTCTCTCTCTCTCTAACCTTTTCTCTCTAGCTTCTCTCAATTTCTCTGTTTGTCTTTTCTTTCTCTCGCCAAATTTTTCATTTTGTATTTTCTCTCCAAATTTTTCTCTTTTTAATTTCTCTCTAATTTTTTTTTTCTCTTTCTAGACCCTAATTTATTTTCCTTCTAATTTCTCTCTCTAATTTTTCTGTTTCTAAAGTTTCTCTTCAATTTTTCTCTCTCGTCTTACACACGTGACACAGAAGGAATGTTTAAGAAAGTGAATGAAAGTTGTGCCTTTCACATGTAACATGTTCAGAATTAGATGGGTTGAGTGGTGGTTTATTCTTGATTAGTGCATTGGATGTCTTTTTTTTTTTTGGGGGGGGGGGGGTGGTCAATGACCCAATGGTTTAACAATTAAGGTGGACGGATCAATAACCATCCAATAAAAAAAATGGCCCGATCAATTTAATTTATTAAATTTTAATTTTGTAAATGGGTGGATTGGTTGGTTATATGTTAGGATGGGTTGGATGATTACTGGATAATTGGACTTAATTGCTATCCCCAAATAAATGAGGGAACTTAAATATCTGCTGATTACATATTCAGTTGTGTCTTACACAGATAATCAATTAAGTCTCGTCATTCATGGAAGAAATTTGCAGTTGCACTCCATCGAACATATAACTGAGCCTGAGTTGATTGGCATTGACATTTTAGTTAATCTCCAAACATCATCAGATCCAGCACAAATTGTTTTGGATATCATACAGAATCCTCTTGTTCCACAGAATAACGGAAACGATGGTGCAATCATTGCTGGGAGCCACATCTTTCTGTTAGAACATTTGATGAGAATCTCACCTCAGATTAAACCCCAAGTAAGGGAAGAGGCATTGAAGTTAGCACTTCATATAAAAGCAAACATGAGAGAAAATGCTGAAAATTCTCGGGTGGCTCTGGGCTTTCTACTGTTTTTGTCTATTTATGGATTGGTTTCTTGTTTCAACGAAGATGAAGTTTTAAAGCTTTTTGAATTAGCTGCTCAGCACAAGCAATCTGTAGAGCTGTTTCGGACCCTTGGTTTTGTGGATAAAATCTCTGGTATGCAAATTTAAACTTGTCTTATTATTTAGTCACAAATTTGTTGGGCGGAAATAATGTAGAGTTTTTTTATATTTTCTTTTATATTATAGTGATAATAAGGGGCAAGTCTTGGCGCAATAGTAAGTTTACTTTCTTGTGGCCTAGAGGTTGAGTTCAAATCCTTAACATTACATAGTCTCTCTGCATGTAGGAGTATGATGGGAGCCTCATGTACTGGGTTTCACTGACTGGAAATAAATGTATTGAAAATGGTATCGAGAAAGAAAGCAAGAGAACTACACTAACTGTCCAATCTAAGATTCACATTGTTTTTCTTTTAACTTTTTTTGTGGACACTATATCCATACACCTGTCTATAAAAATAATTAAATGAAAATATTCTGAAGAGAGAGAAAAATTCTTGTTTAAATTGGTAATTGCAATTGTTTGTCGGTTGCAAGGAAATATGCAATGAACATGGTAAGATTAAAATGTTAGCTGTTTGAGGGAAATTGAGAATCCATAATTTGTTGAAAACTGTACTAGTCTTCACAGATTTTCTATCTTGCTTATCCCGACATTCATTTTTCCTTTGTTTCCAAATTGACATCTTGGTTAATGCTTGGAATAGACTTTAATCTGTGTGTATGTTTGTGTGTCATGTCTCATTATGGTTACCAGAATTGATTATGGCTTTATTTTTTTCCCCCTTGAACAAGTCTGTACTGGAATGTCCTAATTCTTCTGCTGGTTTTTCCGAAAGACTTTCTGGATTGATTTGATGAAATGAAATAACCTTGCGTCTCACAGATTTTGTTCAGATTCTTATTAAGAAGCAGCAGTACATCGAAGCTGTTAAATTCATTTGTGCATATAAGTTCACTGACAAGATCCAACCAGTTGATCTCTTGCGACAACATATGGCGAAAGCAAAATGTGTTACCAAGAAATTGGGCAAAAAGAAGTCCATTGATAAAAAGGTTCTTTTTCCCTATTCAGATTATATTTCATTAAATTATCGGTCTTCATGTAGTTGCATGCTAGTTATATGTTGAACATGTATTCAGGTTAAGGCCAGAGATATTGAAATTGCTAGTCTGGGAACTGTTCTACAATGCATTTCAGATAACAACCTAGAATCTCAGGATCTAGTTAAAGAGATTCAAGATCGCATTCTTGGCCTAGAAAGGCAGAAGGAAAATATTGTTCGTTTAGCATCAGAGCCTTCCTCCAAAGTTGGAGAGCAACTGCCTGAAGAAACGAAACGTGCTAATGGAGTTGTCGTCAAGAATCAAGTTAAAGTGCAACAAACTGAAGGAAAGATATATGCTAATGAAGCAGTCACTGTAAATCAAGTTCAAGTGCACAAATCTGAAGAGAAAAAAGATGTTATTGGAGCAGTCGCCAAGAATCACGTTCAAGTGCACAAATCTGAAGAGAAAAAGGATGTTATTGGAGCAGTCACCAAGAATCAAGTTGAAGTGCAACATCCTAAAGAAAAGAATGGTGCAAATGCAGCAGTCATTAAGAAGCAAGTTAAGGTGGAACAACCTGGAAAAAAGAAACCTGCTGGTGGGGCAGTGACCATGAATCAAGTTAAAGTGCAACAACATGAAGAAAAGATTTGTGCTAATGAATCAGTGACCGTAAATCAAGTTCAAGTGCACAAACCTGAAGAAAAAGAAGGTGTTATTGGAGCAGGTCCCAATAATCATCATTCACATCAGTGGGCTAACAGCAGCAAACGTCCTCGAACAGCTGTAACAAGCTCGGTACGAGAAGACTGTAACAATCAAAAACGTCCTCGGACAGCTGTAGCGAGCTCTGTGCCTTCTGTCTTGACTCCTCAATTCCAGCATGTTTTTGTGCCAATGCCTTGCCATGAAAGAGGTATGCCAATGCCTGCGCAGTTTGGTTTACCCCCAAGCTACTTTGGTCGTCCTAATCCTATGGATATAGGACGGTTTGGAAATAGTGCAGCAAGTTACTTCTATAACTCCAGGCCGTATCCGCGTTTTAGATGACCCCTGTGAAGATATTCTATACTTCCCGTAAATGGTAGTTGTCACGAAGCTGTGCATAATTGGCATATATACTTTTGAAATTTATTGATTGAGTAGGAAGTAAAATAGAATTATTTTATACGTGGAGAATACAGAAAATTATTAAGTAATGTGAATACTAACTTTATAAATAATACTATTATTTTATTAATTTTAGTCTTTAAAATTGAGTTTAAGTATTTATAAATAATTTTTTTTTATGAAAAAAGTACATAATTATTGTATTAAAGTTATAAAAATATAATAAATAATTTTTTAATAAAATTTTACTATTATTAACAGTTTATCTTCAGTCTTAAATATTGAAGTTAACAAAATTTATAATACTACAATGATATTTTTTAAATATTATTATTAGTTAGATTTTAATGATAATTATGCCTTATTTAGATTTTATTTCTAATTTAATAATTTTTACTAATAATTTTGTTATTTCAATCAATAAATAAAAATGTGTAAAAGAGTATATTTTTAGTACTTAAGCTTAATATGTGGAGCTAAGTATGTAATTGGCCTGAGGAGCTGCTCCAAACCGTTTCCGATGATGCTTTCTATCTAGTATGGTTATGACATTCACGAGTGGTAAGTAAATTTTAAGTACGTTTCCTTTCTGGGGCTTTTTTTATTTAATTAATATATTTTAAAAAACAAATTCCCAAAATATAATTTTTTTGAAACTAATTCTCTGTCTGGGCTTTTTTTTTGCCAGGTCAGAGGTAATATCGGCCATGCACCGACGATAGTCTTTTTTTTATAATTTTTTATTACTCTATCGCCCATATACGTCTGATATTAAGGCATAATCTGACACGTGGATATTTAAAACGGCAGAAAAAATAAAAAGAAAAACAAATATTAGTATCAGAGATAAATGAATGATAAGCATTATTTTAATATATTTTTAAAGTCTATCGCTCATCGATGGGCGATACTAGTGGACGTTGTGACACGTGGCGAGCAAGGGCGAGTATCGGACTGTTTGCGATGATAGCGGTGTCGGTGGTCAACTGGCGTCAGCTCTATCGCTTTGACTGGGGCGATACTGCTAATGTGCTGACACGTGGCACAATACATCATTTTATCCATTTGTTAATTACTGTATATCAGATATTACCCAATTTTACTTGGTATATATAGATGAAGGAAGTTCTGAAAATTCAATTTGGATTGGAGGAGCGAGCGGAAGAACATCGAGGTTAGTATATGTTATTATTAATTTTATATTTTTGTATTAATAGTGTAAATTTAGTATAAAATTAAAATTAATTTGTTTATTTATTGAAAATTAGTAAAATAAACACAGGATTTAAATAAAATTAATATAATATATATGTAAGTTTGTTGATAAGTATGTATTTATAATTTATTATAATAGGTTTTATGGAAGAAAATAAGAAAAAATTTGTAGTGATAAACATGTAAAGCTGTTAGGGGATTATTCACGCATTAGCTATCTAGTGGCTGACTGCTAATAATTTAATATATATAATTAAAATGAAAGTGGTAATTGATAGGTATCCAAATTCGATTAAAACATAGAATTGAACAAGCTAGTGTATGATATTTTACATTCAGAATACACCTAACACCTCTCTATTGGATGTTTCTTTAAAGTAAAATGACAAATGTTAATTGACATAGACTACAGTCACTGTTGAGATTGATTACAGCTATGTCATACCATGGTTAGAGTGATATTATGCTATACATATTAGGCTTTCCTATTATGATAGATGGCACATGTATTAAATAATTAGAAATGTGTGAAATGTTATAATTGTAATTGAAATATGAATGGGTCATTTGTTATTAACAATTACATAAATAAATATGTTTTAATTGAGTAGTATAATTTGTTGATGCAGGATGACTGATTTTGTGATAATTGTATATTGGAATGATCGAATATTTTCAAGTAATGAAAGTGTTACGTTTGAAGGAAATAATAAAATGATAAAGATTGCACGTGGAATAAGTTTGGAGACATTGAAGAGAAAGATTCATGCAAAATTGAAATTGTCTAGTAGTCAGGTTATATCTAGATTGATTTCACGATTTTTAATAGACCCGATTGTTAGACAATACACAATTATGGATATATGTGATAATGGAGATATTGATTACATGATAAGTGCTTTTCTTCAACAAAATCAGCGAAGTGCAATTGAAGTATATGCAGATATTGCGTCTGGTGAGAGTTCTTGTATTCAGTCACAAGGTGTGGACTTAAATTTATCAGGTTTACGTGATAACATGTCTGAGGCAGATGAACCCCTATTTTTATCAGGTGTTGTAATTTTATATTGTCTGATGAAAATATATCAAGTTAATTTTATTGTAAGTATGTTTACCTAACATAACATGTCATGGTTGTGTAGAATGTGAATATGAGAATGAAGATGATGATGACAATGAACTTGAATGGGGGGATCCTGAAGAAACTTCATCTGAATCTGATATGAAGGATGGAATTCGTAGTAGCTTGAATATAAGTGATAATGCTGGAGTTGAAGGTATTAAGTACATTAAGTTGTTATAAAATACGTTTCAATAATAATGTAAATTAAATCGATTATGTTGTAATATGCAGGGTTGGTTGAAACTCTTTTTTGAAATTCTACTCCACATTATACCTATATTAACTGGGAACATGCTGATGATGAATTGGAAAATGTAGATGTTGATCCTGATCAACCATGGAAGGAGGGTGATGCATTATTTGTTGGGCAAATATTTGAGTGTAAAGAAGATGTTAAAATGGCAATTAAAAGCTTCGCATTGAAAACACATCAAAGTTATATTGTGGTAGAATCAAAACCAACAAAATTTCATGTGAAATGCCCAAACCATAGTACAGGATGTCTTTGGAGGGTTAGAGCAAATTTGGACAAAAATCTTAACAAGTGGAAAATTACAAGGTGTCGTGGACCACATAGTGTGTTCATGCAATGATGTCTCTTGACCACAAAAAATTGGATTCAAACTTCATTTGCAGTTGCGTTCTTGGTAAGTTGCACTAATTTTATTACAATACGTTTAATGGTCTATATATTACTGAAGAAGATTATACATAATGATATTGTTATTTGTAGGTATGGTAAAAGAACAACCATCGATGCCAATCACATTAATCCAAGAAAGAATTAGTGGTCAATTTGGCTATCAAGTTTCATACAAGAAAGCATGGAAGGCAAAACAAAAAGCTATAGTAAAAGTTTTTTGTGATTGGGATGAATCGTATGCCACATTGCCAAGATGGTTGGAGTACATGCAGTTACATTCATCTGGGTCAGTATACAAAATTGAAACCAATGACTATGTAAGGGGTGATCAAGTGGATAACAGATATAGAGTGTTTCATCGATTATTTTGGTCATTCAAACAATGCATAACTGCTTTCAACTTTTGCAAACCCTTAATACAAGTAGATGGTACTTTCTTGTATGGTAAATGCCATCAAACTTTGCTGATTGCAACCGCACAAGATGGAAATAACTGTGTCCTTCCAATTGCCTTTGCCATTGTGGAAGGGGAAACTTTGTCAGCATGGGAATGGTTTTTGGCTTTGATCCGTCTTTATGTCACTGAAAGGGCAGGTATTTGTTTGATCTCTGATAGACATCAAAGTATTAAAAGTGCTATTTCTAATCCACATCTTGGGTGGCAACCACCAAATGCGTATCATGTGTATTGCATTCGTCACATAGCAAGCAATTTTAATTAGCGATTCAAGAATACAGAGTTGAAGAAAGGATTAATCAAATTAGGTACGAATGTTGCTTTGGATTCACTACAAATATTATTCAGTCATTGTCATATTGATTCATTTTTCTTATAGGATATGAAACATGCAAGCAAAGATTTGAAGAAAAACTTGAACAATTTTGTGATGAGTCAGAGGACATTACAAGGTGGATTAACTGCATCTCCAAAGAAAAATGGTCTTTGGCTTATGATTAGGAAGGAAGACGTTATGGACATATGACTACAAAATCAACGCGTATTAGGAATGAAATGGATTGGGTGGAGTCTCAACCATGTCAACGATGTCGTCTATGTAAACAGACTGGTCACAACCAACGCCATTGTCCTAGGCATAATCAACCTACATGACAGTTTAGCCGTATTGTTAACGTATTACTATTATTTTTGTATTTTGTTACGTTTTCAGCTTAAGTATTGTAACACTTGTTAACTATTGTTAATGGTATTAGTCTTTTGTTACGTTATGCTCACAAGTTGGTAATACGAATGAACATGGATATATTAATAAAGTTTCATCAAAGCATCGCATAGTCACAATACAGAATAACCAAAGATATAAATACAATGCTAATATCACTCCTGTCTGCCCTGGTCGTCATGGTCCTCATGTGGTGTGAGGATGCAATGACGAGGTCGATCTGGCCTCCCTATGAGGGTTACGTCTGACATCATGCTGGGTAGGATCTGCAACTGCTCTAAATTGGGCATTTAGATCAATGCCTTGATCCCCCAAAGAAACCGTAGAAGGCTCTCCTACTGACCCAGTAACTGGACCTGGAGCGGAGGGTATGAATAGTAACGGATCATACGGAGGTGGGGTCATAAAATGATAAAAGTCAGGAACATAGTCTTCTGCATTACTTAATAGAGATGTAGAATGTGTGGTAGGTTGTGATGAATAAAAGTAAGAAGCCTGTGTAGACTGAGATGGAATGAAAGGCATCTGTGACGGGACAAAATAGACACCATCTTGTCTAACTAGCAAAGGCGATATAGACCATGTCGCAGCTTGCACCTGGCTCCTCTGTCGATGCAAACCTCGCCCTTCTTTGCGTCCCTCAGGTTGTCCAATATCAACTTGTGGCTCCTCAGTGTGTCCACTTTGGACAGGTGGCTCAACTCCTTGTGACGGTTCTAAGATCCGAGCTTGTTCACTCTGTAAAGACAACATGGTCTCAGCTAATGATCGCAGCTCA